GGAATCCTATACAGCGTCATTGGTCTTTTTGAAACTCCTGGTGTCACCTGCCTCAGCAAGATGGGAGAGGTGAGAGCCAGAACGGCCGATCAAGGACAATACCGTGGAGCAAAGGCGGTGGCAGCAATAGAGAGGTTCCACTTAAGCACCAGGAATGAGCACCCCTCCGTTACCCTGTACAATCTGTTGGACTCCTTTGACGTCACCACTGTGCCTTGTAAAACACTGTTTACTGTTTCACAACAGTTTACCTGACAGAATGAGTTATTAAGAAAGGGGAAATTAACTAGAGTTAGGGAAGAAAAAGGATCCTCGTTCTCAGCTTGCTTCCCGTGACATCAAAGTCTTCTGAGAAGACTCCCCTCAGGACTCTGCCCTGCCACGCTGGGTGCCCACTGCATGCACCCTGCCAGTGAACTCAGCGCTCAATGGTCTGCAGTGTAGCTGATCTGTGTGGCCACTGTTCCTTCTCTTTCGGCGCTTCTAAGCAGCCTTACAATCAAGTGTTTGTTAACAAGGTCCTTATGACCAAGAGGGGTCCAACTTTTGCCCCTTCCTTTTCTCTTTTTCACTTAAAGGAAAATTCTTTACTTCTTCAGGGAATCTTTGTCTTCCCTTTGGCCATTGTTTTATGCCTCTGCAATCAGGCTTTTGTCCTGTGGCTTCCAAAGAGCCCCTCTTCTCAAAGTTTCTGATGCCTGGCAAACTGTCCAGTGCAGATCTGTCACATCTGGTCTGCCAGCCATGTGGCACAGCAGATGGCATCCTTCATTTTCTTTTGTGGCACTGGGGAGTGAACCAGGATCACTTTACCACTGACCTACATCCCCAGACCTTTTTAATTTTATTTTGAGACAGGGCCTTACTCAGTTGCCCAGACTGGCCTTGATCTTGCGAACCTCCTGCCTCAGCCTCCTGTATCACTGGGATTACAGGTGTGCACCACCATACTTGGCAAACTTGGTCTTCTCAAAGCTTCTTTCATGTGAGGAAATGATATTCTCCATGGTTCCATGCCAAAAAACAACAAGTTTCTTTTTTTGTTATCTTTCTCTCACATCCTACATTTCATGTGTCAGCAAATTTTCCTGGTTCTTCCTCATTTTGGGGGGAGCTGAGGATCAAATCCAGTGACTTGCACATGCTGATCATGTGCTCTACCACTGAGCCACACCCCCAGCTCTTCCTTTAAAAAAAAATTACGTTTAATTTAAAAGAGTAATATAAACAAGAAAGTTTCACATACTGTTGCCAGGTACAGTGGTGCATGCTTGAAATCCCAAAGCCAGGAGGTTGGCAAGTTCAAAGCCAGCCTCAGCAACTTAGTGAGATCCTAAGTACCTCAATGAGATCCTGTCTCTAAATAAAATACAAAAAGGGCTGGGGATGTGGCTCAGTGGTTAAGTGCCCTGGGTTCAATTCCTGGTACCCAAACAAACAAACAAACAAAACATTGTTGCCATGGAAGGCTGGTGCTTGCTGCCGAGAACCTGCAGCCAGGGGGGGTTGTGGATTTGGGGACTACACGAGATCTTGGTTTTGAGATTTAAACACATCATGAGTCTGACTGCTTCTTGGCACATCTGATGCTCTCATTCTGGTCCAGGCCATTGTCACCTCTCATCTGTTGAGCACAATCCCCTCTAGCTCGGGTTTGAATGTGTCCCCAAAGTTCATGTGAAACCTGATTGCCAGTGCAGTAGTGCTGAAGGAGGGCCTGAGGAGAGGCACCTGGGTCCTGAGGCGCTGTGGGGTGGTCAGGGCTGCTATAACAAGGCTTCAGGAGTATGTTTTCTTTTTTTCTGCTCTTCTGCCACGTGAGGAGAGCTTGCCCCTTTTTGGATCTTTTTTCTTCCAGTGTTGGAGACACAAGAAGGCCCCTCAGATGCCCATACCTTGGTCTTGACTTCCCAGCCTCCGGAACTATGAGAAATAAATTTTGGTTCTTTATAAATTACCCAGTCTTGGGCACAAAGGCAGCACAAAGGCCTAAGACTTCCTTCACTGAGGTTACCGAGGGCAGCCTGATGTGCGGCACTGGTGGAGGGATGTTTTAAGAATCTCACTGCACAGGAAAAAGCTCAGAGCCTATAACCTTCTCTCGCTAGCTGATGGAGAACAAGGCTGACAAGCACTGTTTCTAATTTTAAAATAAAATTCTTTGAAAAAAAGTCCTTTCTCCATGTTGATACCCTATGAGGATTAAAAAACTGGGATCTGCTGAGTGTGGTTCTGCACATGCCTGAAATCCCAGTGACTTGGGAGGCTGAGGCAGGAGGATTGCAAGTTTGAGGCAAGCCTCAGCAACTTAGCGAGACTCTGTAAAAATAAAAATAGTAAAAGGACTGGGGATGTGGCTCAGGGTAAAGCACCTCTGGGTTCAATTCTGGGTACTTGGTCCCCAAAATAAATGAATGAATAAATTGGATTCTGAATCAATACTTTGATGACTCTGGAATAAAAAGAAGAAAAAGAAACCTAGCTGTGCCAGGAGATGTTATAGGCTTTACAGCACAATCCTACTTAATCCTCAAAATATGCCGAGAAGCAGGCTTTGCCTTCTCAATGCTGCTCACACAAAAGTTAAGACTTCCTGACGTTTAAACCAGTCACATCAAGAAGTTGTGCTTACGTGAGCTCTTCTAGTGCTCTATGTGTGATCATCTTTAAAACATCATCAGCAAACACATGAGTTCCCTCTGAGCACTGCAATGTATAACTGAGATTAAAGGTCACAATAAAGTGTTCTTTTCTTTCTTTTTTCTTACTCTGGTATTCAACAGAGAGATAATTAGGAGAAAATAAGAAAATCATGGACATGTTGAACTATTTATACTCCCTTCCCAAGTTCATCTTGTGTATACGTTTTTCTCAAATAACATATAACTGGAAGTCACAATCTGTTACAAAATATTGTTATCATTAACATATGTGAGGTAATGATTTCTTCTATATAAAACTCTGGGTTTATAAAAGGTATTATAAATTTTACTTTTTTTTTTAATAAAAAGAAACTGATGTGATAAAAATCAGCTTCAAATTTTGGGGGAGTCAATCATTCTGCAGCACCTTGCTGAGAAGGGCCTTCACTGCACAAGTGTCTGTGACCAAGACAAGAATGTGGACAAACCCAAGTGAGGGCTGTCGTGGGAAGGAGTGACAGGGCCACCTGGCAACCACATGGAGAGCACTTGGGTTCTCTGGGGCTGTTCACCAGGTACCTGCAACCTTCTAGGAGAAAGGGAGATAAAAAAGGAACGCCAGACTCCTGGTCCAAAGAAAAGGGCATGACTTTGGAAGCCCTGGCACTGCCAAAGCCTGGGCTCCTATGGGGTCTGGGAGCACACAGATGCTACCTTCTGATATGGGGTCTGTGAAAAGACACACACCCACCCCGACCTTAGATGACACCAGAGGCTGGAGAGAGACATCACGCAGCCAGGGAAAGGCTCCAGGAGACCAAGGGGCCACTCCCATCACATGTGGCATGGAAGCTACTGAGTGGGCACAGACTGCTCGGTCGAGCTTCTCAGTGGCAGAGGGGACGCCACTTGCATTGGTGCCGAGCTTTCTGCTTGGGTTAATCTTGTATCCTAAAACCCACTCTGCTTCTCTTTCTCCTAAGCTTCCTCTGTCCTTTTGAAAATGAAACAAAAACAACCACCACAACCATTTTTACATCATTGTTATGTTTTTCTTTTTAATTAAAAAAAATGGTTTTGTTTCATTTATTTTTTATTTTTAGCTTTTTTTGATACAGTTTCTTTCCCCATATAATTTTTAAAATCAAAAGACCACACTTTAAAGACCCATTTTTTGAGAAAATTTTAAGTTAAAACCTGTGGATAAAATATGTCCCAAGTGATTGACTGACTGTAAAGCGCTTCCTGCCTTGCAACTACCTTCCCCTAACTTAAGCCCCATAAATCTTGAATTTTGAAAACATTTCCAAATTTCTTTGCTTAATTGATTTTTTTCATATTTGTTCATTACAAATTAATTTATTAAAATATCTGATTCATGAGCTATAACCAGCATCACTATACTAAAATGATATAAGTTTAGGCTGGAAAATATGTTTTAGTTAAGACTGGGCAAACTTACAAAGAGAATTCTTTTTTTTTTTTTTTAGTATAAAAAACCCTTCTTATTAAAGTGCAATATTACCTTTTGAAATGCTGAAAATTCTCAAACACATTACCTCATACCTTTGGTTCCAAAATCCACTCTGCCACCTAACCCAAACTAAGCCAGCTGTGGCTGGCCCAGGCTGATGCTGACTTCATTAACACCCAAGAAACACAAAAGCAGGATATAGCAGCCCAAATTGCCAAATCAGATATCCAAAATGGCCCCAAACCTAAAACTTTTTGAGCATCAACAAGTGGAAAATTCCACACCTGACCTCACGTGATGGGTCACAGTCAACATGGACATGCATGAAAAATAGTGAATAAAATTACATAGATTATATATGAAACATAAATGAATTCTGTGTTTAGATGTAGGTCCCAGACCCAATATATGTCATCGTGTATGTGCAAATACTCTGAAATCCTAGAGATCTGAAACTGAAACACTTCTGGACCCAAGAATTTCAGATGAGGGATTCTTAACTTACAGTAACAGTGGTTAAAATTTGGGACTCTGAAATCAAGAGGGTCCCAAGTGTTTTGAGGTTGATGCTTTGAGGTTGTATGACCTTGAGAGAGGTAGCACATCTGCTGCAGGCGTCTGCAGTGAGCATTAAATGAGACAATGACCACTATGCACTAAGCACAGCCCGTGGCACACAGCAAGGGCCCCTGACTGATGCACATCTTGGAGACAGCATCTCTGAGAGGTCTGAGGCACAGCAGAGATCCAGGGAGGGACATGTTTTTTAGCTGCTTTCTAGAGTGCAGTTTGAACCCAGGATAATTCATCAGGCAAATCTAAGGACAAGTCCCTTTCAGTTGCCCATCAGGGCAAATGTGAATAAGAACACAGCCTCGACTTACAGTTGTAGCACAGGAGCAGGCCAGCCTCTCCATCTTCGTACACATCAATAGCTGCAACAAAATTAACCTGCAATGACAATGGGCAGCGGTAGTGGCGGGTGGGACAATGACACTTGGAAAAGACTTTTCAAGCTACAGGTGTCTGGTGGCACCCTTGGCCCTCTGACACTAGGGTGCTGTGCTGTCTTTTGGCCTCAGCAGTACCCAGAGCACCACCTGGATATGTTCACTGGAGGCGTGAAATACAGGAAAGGTGCCACTTCCCCCTCACCCCAGGACGTCCTCGCTGCCTTCTCATGCCCTCAGGAAAGCCTTGCTCACCAGCATTTCTGCCTGGGAATTCATTTCACACTCACACCAGCCCTGGAAAGTGGATGGCACTACTCCCATTTTACAGATGACAAAAGTGAGGCTCAGGGAGGTGGTCAAGACCTCAGCTGGAAAGTGCCACAGACTCCCATTGAGGAGCCTGTGGGGCAACTTGTGCAGGCATTGTGCACAAGGCCTGGTACTTATAGACGCTCAGTGGAGCCTTATGGAGCCTGTTCCAGTGAGCGCACTCTGTGAGGGCACAGTCGTTGGGTCCTCTCAGACCCCTGAGGGTCCCAGTGGGTGATGGGCAGTTTTATTACTCCCTCAGCTCGAGGCTGTGCTGCAGGAATGTGTCTGCTCAGCCAGACTGAGCTTTCTGAGGGAAGGGGCTGTGTGCTACATTGCCAGACCTGGGTCCTTGCCCCTCACCTTGTGCTGACTGTGGAGACAAAAGCATGCTGGGTTCAAGGGCATGGTCTTTGGAGTCAGGCAGATTGGCTTCAATCCTGCCTCTGCCACTTAATAGCTATGTAACTTGAACCTCAGTATCCCTTTTAGGATTCTAAGACATAATGCCATGACACGCTATAAAATGGGGCTTGGTATGGAGAAGCACTCATTCAGTGGTGGCATGATTATTGTAATTATGGAAAACCTAACCACAGGGGCACAGAGACCTAGAGAGCCTCTGGTTGAGTGATAGAGCCTGTGAGTTGTTTGGGGTGGGTGGGGTGGGAGGCTATGTCAGCAGAGGGGGATATGCAGGAAGCCTTCTAGACCAAGGTCCGTGCCCTAAGCAGGGGACCTGGGGGTGAGGGGGGGGGAAGCTGGCCTCAAGCAAGTCCAGCAAGGGGTTGCAGGACTGCTGACAGATGACCAGATTCAGGTGGTAGGGCAGGTGGGCTCCAACCCCAGGGGAGTTCAGGGACAGAAGACCATGACTTGGACTTGACCATGTTCTCCTTGGGTATTGCCACTCTGATCAGACCTTCACTAGCATTCACCACAATGAGACCCCTTTCATGCTTTGACACATATACCTGTCTGCATCCTAGGAGTGGGCCTGGGAGGTGTCACTCCCCAGCACTGTTTTCCTAACCAGGTGAGGATACCAGACTCAACTGTGGTGCTTTAAAACCTATATTTCTGGGTTCTTGCTCCTAGAGACCCCTATGGAGGAGGTCTGGGGTAGGCCACAGCGTTGAATTTTTAATTGATTAAAAATAATAGATCTTGGGCTGGGGTTGTGGCTCAGTGGTAGAGTACTTGCCTAGCATGTGCGAGGCCCTGGGTTCAATCCTCAGCACCACATAAAAATAAATAAAATAAAGGCATGTGTCCAACTGCAACTAAAAAATAAATTTAAAAAAATTAAAAAAAAATAATAGATTATAGGGATTAGGGTTGTGGCTCAGCAGTAGAATGCTCGCTTAGCATGCGTGAGGCACTGGGTTTGATCCTCGGCACCACATAAAAATAAAATGAAGGTTAAAAAAATTAAAATTCTTTTAAAAAAAGAAGTAGATTGTTTTCTTGGCATTTTAAAATCTTAAAAGTAACATGGTGGGTTAAGGTTGTGGCTCAGTGGTAGAGCCCTCGCCTAGCACATGCGAGGCTCTGGGTTCGATCCTCAGCACCACATAAAAATAAATAAATAAATAAAATGAGGTATTATGTCTAACTGCAACTAAAAAATAAATATTAAAAAGAAAAGTAACATGGTGGTTGTAAAAATCTCAAACACAGACTTGCAGGAAGTAGAGTCTGGCCCTGCTGCCCCTTGTCCAAGTTGGTAGAGGCAGCTGCTACTGGCTCAGTGGTCAACCCTCCCATGGGGTTCTAAGCTAGCCCAGCTGAGAACCACTGGGCTCTGGGTGGCTGAAGATAGGATATGGGCCCAGTTTCAACTGGAACCCCAGGTCCAGTTCCCAGGACTGCAGTTCCTTCCAGAGTATACCCTGGTTTTAGGAATGAGGCCAAGGTTGGCTGCTAGAGCTGGGGCAGTAGGTCACTGTAGGCCTACTGGTACAGGCACCTACTGGTACAGGCACTTGGCTTTCAGGATGCTGTTTAGTGTTTAGACTTGCCTTCTCTCAAACTGGGATTGTCTCAGAACCTGAGGTGGAGTGAATCCTGAAATGGGAATCAAGTGGTGGCTGGGAAGAGGGGAAGAAAGGGGTAGGAAACTAGGCCACTCTGATCAGTACTGGCACACTGCAGAGCTGGCACCAGCGAGTGCCACTTCATGAGCTGAATCCCCACGACGCTGCACTGGCTCTCTGCATTGTTGTGGAGGATAAGAACCTCTTGGTAAAGGCCAGTCTGTTCCTGATGGGACTGCTTCTCACTAACTTTCACAACCATGCTGCTCACCACCTTTTCCACTCTCTAGGACCTAGCGCCCCATTAGACAGCAAGTTCCTTGCAAAGAGGCATAACTGTGTACACCTTGGCACATGCCTGCTTAGCGAGGGCTCCACAGATGCCCGTGTGCTGCTGGAAGACTGTGCACACTGACCATCTCCCAGTCAGGACCCAGAGAAGGGCTGTTTTTCTTTTTTACTTAATTTTTTTTTTTTTTTTTTTGCTTTTTAAAAAGCACATTGAAGAAAAGAGAATTTTAGAATTATTTTCTACTAATGTCATAAAAACAAAATGTGGAGGTCATCAAGGAAAACTGATTCAAACCCAATTTTTCCTGGGCCTTTATGAATCAAAAGAAAAGAATTCAGAAGCATTCTAGTGAGTGATCAGGGTATATAAGCACACAATAACTGTCACGTGAAAGAATTTAATAAAATGATTTTTCTCTATACTAACCCTGATGAATAATCATTAAATGGCACAATTATCAACCACTAGGGGAGTATGATTTGTTTTAAACCAGAACATGCCAGGAAGTGTCTCTGAAATAAGATGAGTACTTGTCCATTAGAAAAGTCATGTCAAACTGGGCATGGTGATGCATGTCTGTAATCCCAGCTGCTCAGGAGGCTGAGATAGGAGGATTTCGAGTTCAAAGCCAACCTCAGTAAAAGTGAGGTGCTAAGCATCTCAGTGAGACCCTGTCTATAAATAAAATACAAAATAGGGTTGAGGATGTGACTCAGTGGTCATGTGTCCCTGAGTTCAATCCTTGGTACCAAAACAAACAAACAAACAAACAAATAAATAAAATAAAATAAAATAAAGAAAGAAAGAAAGGAAAAAGAAAAAGGCAGGTCAAGTCCTGGGAGACTGGTTGTCAGGGACAAGACAGACTGAACATAGACCTGAAGGCCATGATCTTTTTGCCTCTTTTTGTTGATCAGATAGTTCTGAAAAGCAAGAATGTGGCAAGAATTTCAAAGGACCGACTGGGCTTTCTTTGAGAACTAAGTGGGCTGGTGGAGGTCACAGGCCCCTGAGAGAGGCCCAGGCTACTGCTGGCCCAAGTTTCCAGTGACACAGGTTCTGGCTACTGCTGGGGTGGAGAGGCAGAGCGGCAGAATAGAATCCTTCTCCCGCGCCCTGGGAAAATTGAAAAATCTTGGTTCCCAAGTAAATTCTGATTTGATTGTCCTGCCTGAGGTCAGAACAATGAGCTTTTTAAAGTTCCCAATTGCCACCAGGGTGGAGAAGGATGACGGAGCACACCACTGGCTTCACACTTGGCTGAACATTAAAATCACCTTTAAGACTCCCCCAGCCCCTGTCACCTCTCAGACCAGTGAGATCTCTAGGGAGGGACATGAGCATCATGGCTTTTAAAGCTCCTCCAAGGACTCCAACTGCAGTCAGTCTAGGAAGCACCAACACAGAAAGGAGAAATGCCAGACTCCTTTGCGATGGAACACAGCTGGAGACAGAAAGACTTCCTAATTAGATCTAGATCTTTCTACTTCCAATTTTTCTGTTCTCTTAAAACCTTGCTCTAATTAGGTCCTAAGTTTTCTTAAAATAGTAATTTAGCAATTTTTTAACATCTTTTAAAAAATTTTTAGTTATCGATGGACCTGATACCTTTATTCCATTTATTTATGTGGTGCTGGGGATCAAACCCAGTGCCCCACGCAGGCGAGGCAAGTGCTCCACCACTGAGCCACAACCCCAGCCCAGTAATTAGAAATTTTAATGAATATTTAGATAGAACACATACCAGTACTATTTATAAAGCCCAATTGGAAGGAGTTCTATGGTCTGATTCAGTGAAACAGGACTGGGGTCGGCCTGTGGGCTTGGAAGCCCTCCTGAGGAACTCTATTTTCTCTGGGGTAATGCCCCCATTCTGCTTGTCCTTCGTAACTACGCAGGATGCTGGTTCACAGTGGACCATGTGAGCTTCAAGCAGCACCATCTCTCAGGCTGTCCCCAACCTCACAGTGGTTAACAGCCTGAGGAGCTCTGTGATGTGCTAAGGTCATGTGAAGCCATCCCCAGTGCACAGGTTCCAGGCCTCAGGGTGGTGAGTGCTCACCTCTGTGCAATAGAGACCTCACACAGTCATCATTAAAGCTACAGAACAATTTTGGTGGCCCTAGATTGCCTCAAAACAGAAATCCTTGTTCTTCCTGCATCCTGGGTCAGGGATGTGAACCCCCAGTGCTGACCTGCTCTCGCTCTCCTAATGGGGTTCTGCCCCATCTTTCTTTCTTCTGGGCCCCTAAGAGGCTGGAGAAGGGTGCTATGACCATCATAGCCACATAGTCCTCAAGCTGTGAATCTGCAGGGCCACAGACAGCAAGCTTGATTTCCAAAGGCCTTCCCTGGATGCATTAGCAATCTACTATTCTCATTTATTTTGTTAGTTATATTCTGCTTTTGGATTCTCCCTGTCATTTATTTGGAAATATACAGAGGCTTGATCTGGGTGGCTGAGATCTGGAAAAGCTAAGCAGGGCAACAGAATGGTTGTTATTAGATGAATCTTTCTGATCTGCAAAGATGGCAACTTCATGTAGTTCAGCCTAAATAGCATGTTACAAAATACAGATACACGGTATGCAAACAGAAAGAAATCAGAGTCATGGCATCCGAAGTTAGAAGACATGCCTCCTCATCTCTCCTGGTTCCCACTGTCCCTGCAACCATTGCTTACCCTGCTGGCCTCCACATGGTGCAGCCTGAAGGCCTCCCCTGTGCTCTCGTTCACCACATCAAACTGGTGTCGGTAAGCCACGCAGATGAGGTTGTCGCTTTCTTCTGTTGGCCCGTCCACCAAGGTCATCACTGCAGGGGAGTCGGACAGACAGATCTCCTGTGTGGGTGATGATGAGTAGGAGACAGGTTAGGACAGGAGCAGCCACCTTCATGTCAGCCTCCACCCTCTGCTGTCTCCTTCTAGAAGAGGTCCCTGCAGAGGCCAGTGTTGCAGGAAGGCAGGGTCAGAGTGGGGAGAAGGAGCCAGGGGTCCTACCACACTACTGCCTCCCATAATCTGTCCTTGAGACCTCTATTACAAATTGGATCCTAAGGTAGGGTGGGTTTTAGCCTTCATGCAGTCTGTTCTGGGATTGCAATAATAATTGCAAGTAACACATGCCAGGCGCAGTTTCATTGAATCTTTTTTTTTTTTTTTTAAAGAGAGTTTTTTAGATATTTATTTTTTAGTT